CTATAGTTTTGAGACCTAAAGGATGAAGTTAAAACAGTCTAGTGAAAGGTACAAAAGCTCTGATAGGCGCTCAGAGAAGAGTACACCATGGTTGAGGGAAAGCAAGGAGGAGAGTTTAATGGGCTAGGGGCTGAAACTGAAGAGATTGGAGACACAGGTAGAGCAGGTTGTGTGAGCTTAAATTCTATTCTAAGTGCAATAAAAAATCAAGTAAGGGTTTTTAGTAGGATGTGACCAACTGACTTTTAAAAATTTTATTATTATTATTTTGGAAAGGCTTTTGCTATAGGGCGTGTGCGCTCGCCAGACAGACAGAGAGAGAAAGACAGAGAGAGACAGAAAGTGAGAAATCACCCCCCAGGGGGGATGGCCATGCTGCAGTCCCTTCTCTTCCATTCTCCTCTCAGGATCTTGGGCATGCACGCACACGTGCCCAGCGTGAGTTTTAAGCCACCGGGTCCGGGACGCAAACCGCGGTCGACTACATGGGAGTCCAGCGACATAGCCATTACGCCAACTGCTGGTCCCCCAACTGACTTTTTTTGGACATTGTTAAGGTTTTTGCCATTAGGCATCAGAGACAGGAGAAAAGTTGAGAAATCACCCCCCTGGGGGGAACGACTGTTGCAATCCTGTCCCCATTTTCCCCCTAGGAGTTTGAACATTCACACACACATGCTCAGTGTGATTTGCAAGCTGCCAGATCTAGGACTTGAACCAGGGTTAGCCATATGGGAGTCCAGCCAGTTCAGGGCCTCATCCACTACGCCACCTGCTGGCCACACCGACTGACTTTTTTTTTTTTTTTTTTAAAGAGAGAGACTTGCTATAGGGTACATGTGCTTGCCAGAGACACAGAGACAGAGAGAAAGAAAGTGAGAAATCACCCTCACAGGGAGGATGGCCATGCCACTATCCCTACTCCTCCATTCACTTCTCAGGATTTCGGGCAGGCACGCACATACACCTGGTGTGAATTTCAAGCCACCAGGTCCAGGGCACAAACCACGGTCAGCCATGTGGAAATCCAGTGCCTTAATCACTACACCCCCTGCTGGGCTGAACTGACTTTTAAAAAGATCAAACCACCTACTGTGGAAAATGATTATTTCCATCCAGCTACAACTGCTTCCTGGAAAATAATTCTGCCTCAAAGGCCCAGTTTAAATGCAAAGGCCTGCCAGTCCTAGAAACTTCCTTTGTACATGCTTCAGTAGCACCTTATGACAGCAATCATCACTTTCACAGTGTAATTATAAAGTGAGTGTTGATAATCCAATTATTTTCTTCATGTATTGTCAGCATCTCTAATATTAGACACACAAATTCAAAGGGATCTCAAAAAGTTCATGGAAAACTGGAATTGAAAGATAAAAATATAAAGTTTCTCAATGTAAGTTCCATCAAATTCAAGACACTTTTGTAAGTGATGATACTGCCCATTTAATCCATCTCTGTGTTGATGCAATCTTTTTTACATTATTACCTGAAGAAAAGTGGGTGTCCTTTAAAGATTTTTTTAAAGATGGAAAACAAAAATAAGTCAGAAGGAGGTAAATCAGACTGTAGACATTGAATGATTTCCCATCAAAACAAAAAATTGCCTTGGTTGATGAGAAGAATGAGCAGGATTGTTGTGGCAGAGAACTCTGTTGAGTGTTTTTCTGCTAAAGCTTGAGTGTTTCTCAAAACACCCTCGTAATAGGCGGATGTTATGGTTCTTTGGTCCTGCAGATAGTCACAAGCAAAATGAATTGAGTATTTCAAAAATTCATTGCCATGACTTGCTTTTTCTTAAAAAAGAATTGTTAAATTTTACTTATTCATTAATTTTATTTCGCTTTGACCAGAAAGAGACACACAGAGAGAAAGGGAAAGTGAGAAAGCAAGCCACCAGGCCCAGGACTCATACCGTGATCAGTCATGTGGGAGTGTCCAGCACCTTAACCCATGCCACCTGCTGGTCCTCCCATGACTTTTGCTATTGACTGGTTCACTTTTGTTTTGACTGGACTGCTTCTACCTCTAGTAATCATTTATTTGTTTATACTTTGTATTCAGGATCACATTGGTAAAACTGTTTCCTCTCCTGTTACAATTCTTCAAAGAAATGTTTAGGGTCTTGATCTCACCTGTCTCAAATTTCAGTTAAAAACTCTGCTCTTGCTGGGGCCAGCAGTTGGCATGGTGGTTAAAGGTGCTGGATTCCCACATAGCCGACTGTGGTTCAAGTCCTGGACCTGGCAGCTTCCCCTCACTCTCTCTGTCCCTTTCTGATCAAATTGAAATAAACAAATGAATAAATAAAGTTAAATAAAATAATTCTTTAAAAAAAAAAGGAAGAAAACTCTGCTCTTGTCTACAGCTGAGGTGAGCACAATAGTTTTGGCACTCAATCAAATTAGAAGTTTGCTCAACTCTAATTTTGCAGATGGAATTGTGTAAACTGAATCAATTAAGATGTCTGTGGTGGGTACCAGCAGATGGTGTAATGGTTATGTAGCTGGACTCCCACATAGTTGAATGTGGTTCTAGTTCCAGATCCAGTGGCTTAAAACTCATGCCAGGCGCGTGTGCGTGCATGTATATGTGCCCCAAATCCCAAGAGATTGGAGAAGAAGGGATTGCAGTGTGGCCATGCCCCCAGGGGGTGATTTCTTGCTTTCTGTCTCTCTGGCAAGCGCACATGCTCAATAGCAAAAATCTCTCAAAAAAACAAAACAAAACAAAAAAAACACTAGATGTCTGTGATGTTGGTTATTGTTTTTGCTATTAATGATCAGTCCTCTAAAATCAAGGCGTGAACAAGTTTTTCCTTGCAAATTGACATGGATGGTCTGCTGCTATGGGCATCATTTTGTCTCTTTAATTTTGCCAGAAGGCACAGGTACACTTGCCAGAGAGAAGCAGAGAGAAAGTACTCCCTGACAGGTGTGGCCACACCACAATCCTTTCTCCACTTCTCCATCCTTTCAAGATTTGGGACATGGACACACATGCTCCCAGCATGTTTTTCAAGCTACCTGGTCTGGGACTCCCATGGTGTGATCAATCATATGGGATCCAGCTTCCTTCACCACCAGGCTATGGATGGACTTCATCTTGTCTTGTCCCATCTTAAAATGGTTTATCCATTTGTAAATTCCTGCTTTCTTTGGTGAATTGTTCCCAGAAACTTTTTGTAAAGCATCAATGATTTCACCATTCTTCCACCCATTCTTCATTGTGAATATGTTATTTAACAAAGCCAATAAAATTTATCCTGCAAAAAGCTCTTGGGTGAGGTTCCGTGGTCTGAGCAGAGGCCAGGGAGTTACACTCAAAGGATTGCTACTTACTCTCTTACAGGGGCCCTTGACCAATAAACAGTTGCCACAGCATTATGGCATCCTGTCCTGGCCAATGGGAGACTATGTTTCTGTTCAACTGGTGGCGGGCACCAAAGGCAGAAGGTGGGAGAGTCCGTTGGTTGCCTCACTCCAGATCCGGAAGGCTGGAAGTTTCTGCCATGTTTCTTTTCCCTTCTCCTAGACCTTACAGAGAACACATGGGAAACTCCTGGGGATCCAGAAATCTCCGTAAATACACAGGGAGCAGGTTGTGACCCTGGCTTGCTGTAGGGTTAGAGGGGCAAATTGTTGCATGAAGCCTTGTTGAGGGAGGCCTTTCTCCATCTCACGGAAGAAATAAATGGATGGATAAACATTTCTTCCTAGTTTTTGCTTTAGGTACATGCCCTTTCCAGAGAGGGACAGTGAGAGAAAGTGAAAAATCACCCCCAGGAGGGAATGGCCACACTGCAATCCCTTCTCTTCCATTTTCCTCTCGGGATCTGGGGTACATACACACAGATACTAGTATGATTTTCAAGCTTTGGGGTCCAGGACTCAAACCAGGATGTCACCCATATGGGATCCTGCTCCTTAACCTCAAGGTCACCTGCTGGTCTTGGACAAACTTTTTTTCTAAAAAAGTTTATGTCTGGGACCAGCAGATGGCGTATGGTTATGTCACTGGATTCCCACATGGTTGACCACAGATCAAATCCAGAACTGGGTGGATGGAAAATCACACCGGGTGCATGTTGTATGTGACCAAAATCCTAATGGGAGAATGGAGGAGAGGTGACTGTGGCGTGACCATCCCTACTAGGGGGTGATTTCTCACTTTCTCTGTCTCTCTGGTGAGCACACCACCCTATAGCAAAACAAAAACAAAACAAAAGTCTAAAAAAACACAAAAGCTGATGTCTGGGGCCAGCTTTGTGGAAGAACAGTAATGTGCTGCTCAAGAGATACCAGATCCCACCTTGGAATCCCTGGTTCAGGCTGACCTGTGGCAAGCACTCAAGTGCCCAATATCCACCAACCAGAGGAGAGAAAGGGGACTGCAATTGTGATCAGATTCAGTGGAAAGTGTTCTTCTCTCTCTTACTCTGAGATGTCAACACACATTCTCTATAAAGAATAAAGAAAAAAATCTTTAAAAAAAATGTTGACTAATCCTACTTAGTCTCACTAATGCTATCTCAACAGCAATCAGTTGTCTTTGTTTCTTTAAGAAAGAAATTCAGTGTTGTAATATGTTCCAGGAGCGGCTTTTTGAAAACGTATTGCTTTTTGAAACAGAACATAATTTGGGCTACTTTTCGGAACAGGGTACAGGCCTGGAAGTTTTGAGAGAAAAACCTTTCAACTTCTATTACCTAGTCTGGAATAAAAAGAGATGGAAATCAACCCACTAATAAAAAAAATTGGGCAGGGCTTCACTGTTAATAGTACCTCTCATCAGCAACCTTTCTTAGAAAGCCACTGACTCCGCCTCCCCTTCCAGTAGGTCCCTCCCTAAGTGACTGCGTCCAGCTTGCGACCAGCTGGCGACAGCTACAGCTCTTCCGGCATCCCTCGGTACTAGGCCCGCCTCCTTGTGCGTATTTTTCCCGCGCAGGGGGGCGGGGCTTGGACTTAGCCCTGATTGGTCGGCTTCACTGGCGACCTTTCCCCTCTGCGACAGTTGTTCTAGGTGTCTGGTGCCTGAGCTGTAGAGAGAGCGCGAACCGAAGCAAGATGGCGGACGTGCTGGATCTTCACGAGGCCGGGGGCGAGGATTTCGCCATGGATGAGGATGGGGACGGTGAGGACGGTGGAGGCAGCTGCGGGAAACGGGGAAGGTGCGAGAGCAGGGTGTAAGAGAACGGCGGAGGACGGGAGTGGGGAAACCAAGTCTGGGTTGAGTGCGACTCCCGCCCCCTTTGAGAGGAGTGGAGGCGGGACTGGGAAAGGACTGCTAGTGGTGGGTTTGGTTTTCAGATAGTGTCTTGGTAAAGAGACAGTTGTTATGATTCTTATCTTTCTTACTGATTCTTTATTCTTCTGGGGTTCCAGAGAGCATCCACAAACTGAAAGAAAAAGCGAAGAAACGGAAGGGCCGTGGCTTTGGCTCCGGTGAGTGTGGGAAAATTAGTCGTCTAGTAGGGCGAGAATTATGAGTTTTGGAGCCCCCACTCGACTTGTGAGGAACACTGAGAGAAAAGGGGAGTTTTTTTTTGTGATCTCGTGTATGTCTGTTGTAGAAGAAGGGTCCCGAGCGCGGATGCGTGAGGATTATGACAGTGTGGAGCAGGATGGCGACGAGCCAGGACCACAGCGCTGTGAGTAGGCTAGAACCTGTGGGAACTGTGGCTGTAGAGACTAATAAAATTAAGCCAGTAGGAATGGTGGCTTCTCAAATCGCTGGAGTCTACACACTGCTTCTGTGGTCCTGCTTGAAGTTTTTCTCTCATGTTCATACAGCCTCCCTCCTTTCCCCAACAGCTGTTGAAGGCTGGATTCTCTTTGTCACTGGAGTCCATGAGGAAGCCACTGAAGAAGACATCCATGACAAATTCGCAGAATATGGGGAGATAAAAAATATCCACCTCAATCTGGACAGGCGTACAGGCTACCTGAAGGTATCCTAAGTGACACTTAACTGCTCTCTTCCCCTATAACCCTTAAACAGCATTGGTAGTTCTCTCCTGATTGCTGTAGTTGGCCAAGATCAAAGTTAAGATAAAATGACATTGGAAGTTGATTTTTTTTTTTTTTTGAGAAGTTTTCACTATAGGGCACGTGCGCTCACCAGACAGACAGACAGAGACAGACAGACAGAAAGCGAGAAATCATCCCCCAGCGGGGATGGCCACGCCGCAATCCCTTCTCTTCCTTTCTCCTCTTGGGATCTTGGGCATGCACACACACGCCTGGTGTGAATTTAAGCCACCGGGTCCAGGACTCAAACCGTGGTCGACTACATGGTAGTCCAGAGACATAGCCATTACGCTAACTGCTGGTCCCATTGATTTTTTTTTTTTTAGACACAATAAAGAGACAGACAGAAACAGACAGACACATTGTGTATATGATTGGGATAGATGGTGTTGTACATTCATTGTTCAAAATTTATAGGTTTTTCTGTTGAAATAGGAGTTTAAATTTGAGGATGATAGTCAATGATTCTTGATGAAATAGGATCGTTGATATCTATCTTTTCACTTGCCCCAGGGGTATACTCTAGTAGAGTATGAAACATACAAGGAGGCCCAGGCTGCTATGGAAGGACTCAATGGCCAGGATTTGATGGGACAGCCAATTAGTGTGGACTGGTGTTTTGTTCGAGGTCCACCCAAAGGCAAGAGGAGGTAAAGTTTACAGGGCAAATACTGTTTTGGTAAAGGGAATATGAGCAAAACACAACAAGGATATTGTATTATGTCCCTCTGATGGATTGCCTCCCCCTTGTTTTTCTCCAGAGGTGGCCGAAGACGTAGCAGAAGTCCAGACCGAAGACGTCGCTGACAGGTTTTCTGTTGTCCAAGTATTATCTCCAAGATTCTACTTGGCCTTGCAGCCTTGGAGAAGTAGGGCTGGAGTAGAACTTGCTGTGCTTATATTTAATCTCTCACTGTACCTGCTTAGTGTTTCATTTGAATTATGAATAAATGTCCACTTTTGTTTTCTACATTTAAAATTATTTTCCTGTCCTGACATTGAAGTATTTGAAGCACTATTTACAGTAAGGCAGTATGGGTCATCGTGAAGATACTTGTCCCAGAGACTGAATTAAGTGTGAGTTTCCACATTATATATATCATCAAGTCTCAGGTAAGGGTAAAGTAGATGCACTGATCAGTATTTCTTTTTCTTAGAAGTTAAGAGGGCAGGAGATGTTCTTAGGGCATTAGAGAATGCGTATTCAATTTCTATAGACTCTGTTTTGAGTACATGAATGTTATAGGAATGTCTCTTTTGTTTCTGCTGCCCTTCCTGGTGTCACATTTGTTTGTGCTTCCAGCTGTCTTAGGGCCTGAATCTCCTGTTGGGGCATTCTTTCAGACACTCCTTCCTTGGAGGAGTCTATACTTAGTTCTTGGTGCCCTCTTCTGCAGCCAAGGGTGAAGGCCCCATAGAGGAGAGGATCCAAAGGAGCATTGAGGAGGCCAAAGAGGAAAAGGATGTGGCTGAGGCTGGGAGGGACTTCAGTTAGCATGGTGGGGGAAAACCAGTACCATAGACCCAGAAGGTAATAAGGTGTCCAGCAGAGGACGAAGGTCAGCAAGACAAGCAGGGCCAGTCGCAGGGCCCGAAGACGTACACGAGGGCGGTTGTCTAAGGAGCGGCGTAGGGCAAATTCACTGGCAGGGGCTGGGAATTTAAAAATAAACTCAAGTTCAGAACCTCAGTTCTGAACTGAGTATAGGATGAATTGTGAATAGACAGGATAGTGACATAACCTCCCCCTCCCCCCATAAAAAGACCCTCTGCAGACCTTCTTTCCAATCTGGGACTAAATGATCCCACCCCTTAGGAATTATGACAGAGGTATTGAAAAGGCTTTGATTGAAATGGCATATTATCTGAAGCCAGCAATTCTATTTTAAGACTTGATGGTGTTCCCAAATAAAATAGTATAGTAATTGCCTTTCTCCCTATTCCTTGCCCAGCTAACTCAACTCAGCTAGTAGCTGTTTAAGGACATCCTGACCATCAGGTGGCATGGTATTTAAGGTGACTGAATTCTCACATGGCCGACCATGGTCAAGTCTTGAACCTGGTGGATTGAAAATCATACCAGGCACATGTACATGCTTGTCCCAAATCTTGAGAATGAAGGAAAAGAGATTGTGTAAGATTAAAGGCATTCAAAAAACTGTCTCAGCATTAGGTGCTAGAGAAATATTAAGGGTGTCACTTTGGTTTAGTGACTGACAGCAATGAGGTAGGTAGATAAATGATGCTAGAGACAGGAGGCTTAAGGATTAAAGCCTGGGAATTGGAGTCTCACCATGGCTTCCCTTCTTTTTCCGGGAACTGGATACACTGATGACAATGCGACTATAGCAGACGGCCATGGCAGTCAGTGGCAGCAGAAAAAGGCAGCAGAAGGTGAAGAGGTTATAGGTGGTCTCTTGCCATCGAGCCTTGAAACTGCCTTTGGTGACACACTGAGTGAAGGGGACTGGGCCAGCTCGGCGAACCGTGTGGAACAGGAACAGCTAGAGTGGAGTTAAGGACTATTAGAACTAGTTCCTCTCACCTCCAAACTACCCATGTATGTCACACTGTCTTTTCCAAATTCATCCCTAATTTCAAGTGGAGCAGTGCAGTAGTGGGTAATGGTTTATACCTGATACTACTTAAAAAAAATTATTATCGTTATTAATTTGCTATATATAGGGCACGTGTGCTCACTAGAGAGAGAGAAAGAGAGACAAAGTGAGAAAGCCGGTCTGGGACTTGAAACATGGTCGCCCCTGTGGGAGTTCAGCACCTTAACCATAATGCCATCTGCTAGCTCCCATGGTACCATTTTAAAAGATGAGAAATGTGGGTCCATCCAGTTGCATAGTGGTTAAGGTGGCTGGATCCCAAATGTCCAACTGTATGCTTTGAGTCCAAGACTGGGTGTCTTAAACAAGCTATGTATGCCCAAAATTCTGAGAATAGAATGGAAGAGATGGGATTACAATGTGGCCATACCCCTGGGGGATGCTCATTGTCCCTCTTCCAGTAAGTGCATGTACCCGATGGCAAATTTAATAATATCAAAAGATCACAGATGTATAATGAAAATACCTGTCTTCCCCTTAGGCTTAACTATGGCACTGAGTAAAATTTTTTACATCCTACAACTTAAAAAAATTCTGCCTTGGGGCCAGCAGGTGGCAATTTGGTTAAGGCACTGGATTCCCACATGGCTGGCTGGTTTGAGTCCTGGACCTAATGGTTTAAAAATCACACCAGGAACATGTGTGCATGTGCTTGAAATCCCAAAAGAGTTGAGAATGGATTGTGGCTTGGCCAACCCCCCACTGGAGGGGTGATTTATCACTTTCCTTTCTCTCTCTGAGCACACATGCTCTGTGGCAAAAACCTAAAAGTAAACCAAAACCAAAATAACTACCTCCTCAAGTACTACTATTCTAATATTGCATTCAATCAAAGGATGCTATCTCCACCACCTCACCCACATTTTTAGTTCAAATGGTTTTCCTAGGGACCAGCAGTTAGTGTAATGGCTATGTCGCTGGACTCCCATGTAGTCGACCTGGTTCGAGTCCCAGACTTGGTGACTTAAACTCACGCTGGGTGCGTGTGCGTGCATGCCCAAGATCCTGAGAAGAGAATGGAGGAGAAGGGATTGCGGCGTGGCCATCCCCCCAGGGGGTAATTTCTCTCTTTGTCTGTCTCTCTTTCTCTCTCTCTCTCTGGTGAGCGCACATGCCCTATAGCAAAAACCTCTCAAAAAAAACCCAAATTTTCCTAGTACATCTCTGATAACTTCTGTGAAAAATATCTTGAATAAAATGAGAGTTCCTGGAGCCAGCAGGTGGCATGGAGGTTAAAGCACTGGACTCCGGGCCCAGCAGTTAGTGTAATGACTATGTCACTAAACTCCCATGTAGTGGACTGTGGTTTGAGTGCGGACCTGGTGGCTTAAACTCACACCGGCGCGTGTGAATACATGCCCAAGATCCCGAGAAGAAAATGGAGAAGGAATTGCAGCGTGCCCATCCCTCCTGGGGGGTGATTTCTCTCTTTCTGTCTCTCTTTTTTTTTTTTTTAAGAGGTTTTTACTATAGGGCGCGTGTGCTCGTCAGAAAGACAGATAGAAAATGAGAAATCACTCCCCGGGGGAATAGCCACGCTGCAATCCCTTCGCCTACTGGGATCTTGGGCACGCACACACATGTGCCCTGCGTGAGTTTAAGCCACCGGGTCCGGGACTTGAACCACGGTCAACTACATGGGGGTCCAATTAGCCATTACGCTAACTGCTGGTCCCTCTGTCTCTTTTTCTGGTGAGCACACGCACCCTATAGCAAAAACTTCTGGGGGAAAAACAAAGCACTGGACTCACTGAACTCCCACACGGCTGACTGTGGTTTAAGTACTGAACCTGGTGGCTTGAAAATCATGCTGGGGGCATGTGTATGCGTTCCCAAAATCCTAAGAGGAGAATGGGGGAGAAGGAATTGCAGTGGCCATCCCTGGGAGGTGGAGGGGAGGTGGGTTTTTCATTTTCTCCTGTGAATGCATGCACCCTATGGCAAAAACCTTAAAAAAATTTAAAATGATTGTCGCTAAAATTTCAGATCATTTTGCAGCCCCTCTGAAGTGACATTTAGTAACAGTTTTATGTACAATAACTATAATTATGAAATAATGTTAAATAAAAAAAACTAAACACTTGAAAAATGCTGTTGCTGCCCCTCCCCCTTTCTGATAAATTGCTGGGGTTATGGATTGGGTCAAAAAGTACTTTTCTTGGGCCAGCAAGTGGCATGGTGGTTAAGGGTGCTGGACTCCCATATGGCTGACGGGTTTGAGTCTCAGACTTGATGGCTTGCTTTTTCTCTCTGTCCCTTTCTGGTCAGAATAAAACAAACAAATAAATAAAATAATTCTTTTAAAAATTATTTTATTTAACTTTATTTGTCTTAATTTGACCAGAGAGGGACAGAATGAGAGAAAGTGAGAAAGCAAGCTGCCAGGTGTGGGACTCAAACCATCGTCAGCCATGTAGGAGTCCAGTGCCCTTAACCACCACGCCACCTGCCAGCCCT